GTTCCCAATGCAGGTTAAAAAGTGAACGTAAGAACCTGATTATTTCTTATGACAACATAATCCTTTTGAGATACTAGTTTAGGTCTATAGCCATCTACATACTTGCACATGAACCGGCTGACATCACTCAGCCGGTTCAGGATCTGGGATGGATCCTGAACCGGCTGAGTGATGTCAGCCGACAGTGGGCTTTAGCCAGCTGTCAGCATAACCACTTGCCCTCCAGAGGATTTACCCCCCTTTCTGACCAGGCCATTTTTTTGCGATATGGCACTGCGTTACTTTAACTGACGATTGTGCAATCATGCAACACTGCACACAAATTAAATTTACATCCTTTTTTTCCCCACAAATAGCACTTTCTTTTGGTAGTATTTGATCGCCTCTTTTTTTTTTTTATTTTTTGCACTATAACCAAAAAAATGACAACTTTGTGGAAAAAAAAACAAACATTTTTGACTTTTTGCTATTAAACATGTCCAGTAAAAAAATTTTAAAAATCAAATTTCGTCATAAATATAGGCCAAATGTATTCTGATACATGTCTTTACTAAAAAAAAAATCCCAATACATGTAAATTAATTTGTTTATGTGAAAGTTATAGCTTTTACAAATGGTGGTATACAGTGGGGATCGAAAGTTTGGGCACCCTAGCTAAAAATTTGTATTAATGTGCATAAAGAAGCCAAGGAAAGATGGAAAAATCTCCAAAAGGCATCAAATTACAGATTAGACATTCTTATAATATGTCAACAAAAGTTAGATTTTATTTCCATCATTTACACTTTCAAAATAACAGAAAACAAAAAAATGGCATCTACAAAAGTTTGGGCACCCTGAAGAATTTATAGCATGCACTGCCCCCTTTGCAAAGCTGAGACCTGTCAGTGTCATGGATTGTTCTCAATCATCGTCTGGGAAGACCAGGTGATGTCAATCTCAAAGGTTTTAAATGCCCAGACTCATCTGACCTTGCCCCAACAATCAGCACCATGGGTTCTTCTAAGCAGTTGTCTAGAAAACTGAAACTGAAAATAGTTGACGCTCACAAAGCTGGAGAAGGCTATAAGAAGATAGCAAAGCGTTTTCAGATGTCAATATCCTCTGTTCGGAATGTAATTAAGAAATGGCAGTCATCAGGAACAGTGGAAGTTAAAGCAAGATCTGGAAGACCAAGAAAAATATCAGACAGAACAGGTCGCAGGATTGTGAGAAAAACAATTCAAAACCCACGTTTGACTGCACAATCCCTCCAGAAAGATCTGGCAGACACTGGATTTGTGGTAAACTATTCCACTATAAAGAGGATACTTGTACAAATATGGTCTTCATGGAAGAGTCATCAGAAGAAAACCTCTTCTATGTCCTCATCACAAAAAAATCATCATTTGAACTTTGCAAATGAACATATAGACAAGCCTGATGCATTTTGGAAACAAGTTCTGTGGACCGATGAGGTTAAAATTGAACTTTTTGGCCGGAATGAGCAAAGGTACGTTTGGAGAAGAAGGGGCACAGAATTTAATGAAAAGGACCTCTGTCCAACTGTTAAGCATGGGGTTGGATCAATCATGCTTTGGGGTTGTGTTGTAGCCTGTGGCACAGGGAACATCTCACGAGTAGAAGGAAAAAAGGATTCAACAAAATTTCAGCAAATTTTGGATGGTAACTTGATGCCATCTGTGAAAAAGCTGAAGTTAAAGAGAGGATGGCTTCTACAAATTGATAATGATCCTAAACACACCTCGAAATCCACGGGGGATTACATCAAGAGGTGTAAACTGAAGGTTTTGCTATGGCCTTCACAATCTCCTGACCTCAACATAATTGAAAATCTATGGATAGACCTTAAAAGAGCAGTGCGTGACAGACAGCCCAGAAATCTCAAAGAACTGGAAGACTTTTGTAAGGAAGAATGGGCAAAGATACCTCAAACAAGAATTGAAAGGACTCTTGGCTGGCTACAAAAAGCGTTTACAAGCTGTGATACTTGCCAAAGGGGGCAGTACAAGATATTACCTCTGCAGGGTGCCCAAACTTTTTCAGACGCCATTTTTTTGTTTTCTGCTATTTTGAAAGTGTAAATGATGGAAATAAAATCTAACTTTTGTTGACATATTATAAGAATGTCTAATCTGTAATTTGATGCCTTTTGGAGATTTTTCCATCTTTCCTTGGCTTCTTTATGCACATTAATACAAAATTTTAGCTGGGGTGCCCAAACTTTCGATCCCCACTGTATATACTGGAGTTTTTTTTTTCTTTTTACTAGTAATGGCGGTGATCACGACTTATAGCGGGACTGCAGCATGCATTCTGACACTGGGGGGGACTGACTCGGTGTCACTGATATCCCAAATGACACCAACACAGTGATCAGTGCTAATAAAAAGCACTGACACTGTACTAATGACACTGGGCAGGAACGGGTTAACATCTGGGGTGATCAAAAGGATTAACTGTGTGTGAGTGCTTTTCCATTGTAGGCACACTGCTTTGTTATGCAGAACCATACAAAGCAGTGTGCAGGAGCTGACAGGGGAGAGATCTGTGTTGTTTATACACAGGTACTTCCCCCATCAGAGATACTTGGCGATCACTGGGTGCCAGTGAGTAATCACTTGCCAGGACCCGGTGATTGACAGATGAGGCCACAAATTGTGGTAGGGCCCCTACCTGGAAATGCAAAATCACATATATATATTAAAATGGGTCACAGGAGTGCATAATGAACTGCACTCCTGTGACCCACAGGAGAAGTACAGTCAAAAGAACATTGCCTGTACTTCTCCTTTAAGAAAACACTGCATCTGAGCAGAAGTAAGAAAATTCACTCTAGTAATTTCCTGTATACAGCCCTCATGTAACTACATAAAGATCAGTAAGATTTGCTTCTTGAAACCTGTGTTGTGTAAAAAATTATCTCTCTGCATCATAAAGAGCATTTAAACCTCCAAGGCAAAAATGAATCTAATTGCTGGAAAATGCCTCTTAGTATTTCTTAGGAAGCATAAAGCAAGGGTGTACTTCTGTCATCTTGAGAACGTGTATTCTGGGTTACCAGCAATTCTGGACTGAAACACAGATGTGTTGTGCATGTCTATTGCATATGCATCTCCATGTTTAATTATCAATTTTCAATGGCATTGACTTTTTTGTTTAACCACTTTTCTTCCAAAGCAATTTTGTAATTTTTCACACACGTTAATCACTTGCCCTCCTGCGAATTTACCCCCCTTCCTAACCAGGCCATTTTTTGCATTACTTTAGCTGACAATTGCGCGGTCAGGCAGCACTGCACCCAAATTAAAATTATGTCCTTTTTTCCCACTAATTGAGCTTTCTTTGATCACATCTGCATTTTTTATTTTTTGTGCTATAAAAAAAAGACCAACAATTTTGAGAAAAAAAAGAATATTTTTGACTCTTTGCTATTAAACATGTCCAGTGAAAAATTTTAAAAATCAAATTTCATCATAAATTTAGGCCAAAATGTATTCTGCTAGATGTCTTTGCTAAAAAAAAAATCCCAATATGTGTAAATTAATTGATTTACGTGAAAGCGTTTACAAATGGCAGTATAGATACTGGAATTTTTTTTTCTTTACTAGTAATGGCGGCGATGAGTGACTTATAGTAGGACTGTGGGACTGCGGTGGGCATTCCGACACTGGGGGGAATTGACTTGGTGTCACTGACATCCCCAGTAACACCAATACAGTGATCAGTGCTAGGAAAAGCACTGACACTGTACTAATGGCACCCGGCAGGAAGGGGTTAACATGAGGGCCGATCAAAGGGTTAACTGTGTGCTGTTTCACAATGTTTGAGCAACGGTTTATCAAATGCATTTCAGTAAAAAAAATACACTAAAATGAATTTAATGCACACAAACACTTTCTGGTAAAAAGAAAAAATGTGGTTGTGTTAAGTAAATACATTACAAATACGTCAAGCTTCAACAGCCAGTAAAATGTCAAAAAACAGTGGTGCCCACAGTAGTCAATTAGCAATGCTTTAAAGGCCATTACAGGTCATCAGTTTAGCATTAACAGTGATTGATGGCCCTAGAATTTTTGCTCTCACATGTGACAAAATCGCTGTTTACATTCACATGCATGCCTCACACACGTGTTTGCATTTGTGTGTTTGATGGGGTTGCTATTATTTTTTTTATTATTTCTATTTGTTTTAATTTATAGCAGATTGTTTACACATTTTTTCACTTAACTTTATTTTTATCACAAAGAAGCTAACAAACCCTCTATGTGATAGCTGTAGCAGGTGACAAGTTCTCTTTATTCAGACATCAGGGGTCTATTAGACTCCTATGGTCTCCCCTGCCCTTTACTGCAGTTCAGCAAGCACAGGACTCTGCTTCATAGTGTGCACTTCACACTACGGTGAAAGTGATTGGATTGTTTTTACATGAAAGCCAGCTCAAAAATATGATACCAGGCTCGCATCTGCTGCTGCAGCCACAAACTTGTATAAACCACTTGAATTTTAGGTGTTAAGAAAATCTGAAACCTGCAGCTAAAGTAAAGACTTGTTAATGCTTACCTCCACAGTCCATGGATGGCAAATAATGAATGACTTACCACACCGAGAGTTACAGTAGGTGCACAATGCCTACTTGTACTGTATACGGTCAATCTTGTACGTGTACTGTGATGACAGGGTGACTTTGTATGTATCAGCAGACAAGGTCTTCCCTTCAAGCAATACTGTAAATGTATATCTTGCTGCCCCTAAAACTCTTGCAAAAGTATTGTTTTTTTCTGTATTAAAGCCTAATGTACACTGACTGTAAAGGGTATTGTTAATAGGTTCACATATTTACCCAAAATAACTCTCTTTTGCATGCCTTCCAAGCTTTTAATTGATTGTTCCCTTTAATTTTCTTACTTCATGGCAACTTTGGATGGGCATAAATGCCAATACTTCTGGTGAGTGGGACTAAAATTTCTGGAACCCCCTTTCTCCCAATGAAACAGTACCAGGGGCGGACTGACAACTCATGAGGCCCCGGGCAATAGGGGATCATGGGGCCCCTGTGTCCTTGCTCCAACTCAAAAAAGCCTATGAAAAATGTACCAGGGGCATCTCATGGGGCACCCTACTGACCCTCAGGCAGTGCCCGAGTTTCCAAATGGTCAGTCCGCCCCTGAACAGTACTATCTGAAAGGACTGCTGTTGTCACTGAAGAGATAGTCAATAGACGTGTGTTTTGTTACAAATCAATTTACGGACGAAAATGTGATTTTCAGAGATTCAAATGCATACGAATCCCCGAATGGATGTAATAACGAATGTTAACGATTCCGTAAAAAGTTTGTTCAATGTTGAACTTTGTTCAATGTCAACCCCCTCTTAAAGAAATCCAAATCTTCCACTTTGATTAAACTTTTCATATCTACCCTGACAAGTGTGTATCCATTCCTCAGCATCCTTGACCATTAACCTGTTTAATCCAATAATCAATAGACGGTATTTGTGTTTTTTTTATCCCAATGTATCAGAATTAAATCTTTAGCAGCATTCAAGAGATCTGAGACTATGCTTTTCTAAATTTGTGATTTGAAATTTAATTTGTAATTGTCACAGTCAGTCAGTTCAGTTCCACCATCTAACGCAATTCTTAGGTTTGAAAAATTCAGGGTTGCCAAATTTTGCATCTAATTTATTTTGTTGCGTCTGAAAATATTGAACAGTTTCGATTTATATATGAATAACAAATCTGCCTGAAATACCAAAAACTAATATATATCAATCTTCTGAAATAAATGCTATTTTTTTCAAATTCACCTGGACCAACGATTATACAAAACGAATGCAGAAGATATGAGACGAGTTCCAAAAACAAATTGGTTCCACATAGTGAATATGATTAAACAAAATTCTTCAATGAACGAATGAATCCGAAATTAAATGAAAATTTTCGGCATGCACATGTCTAATAGTCAATGAATGGGGGAAAAGTTGTTAGTGAAGCACCACCTGTAGGAGGGACCTTCAGGTTTTGATGTGGATGATGAAACAGGCTCAATGACATCATTGCAATGTGTTTGACATTTAACACACGTATTGGTATTGGTATTATGTGACGCGCACCAACATCATGTTGGTAAAATATAGTGATGGCATTTTTCTGAACAGAGATTTTGATGATTCTACTTTTGCTTCACTTTATAGCTGCCTGTTACCTCCACGGAGAATACAGGCCTTCTAATTATGACCTCTGTTGCAATACCTCCGCAATCAGCTACAGCACCTATAAGGTATTTCTGCAGCAGGAACCATTTGTGGAACTTTGCAAGAGGACAAAGGACTAATAGGAGACTATAGTTCTACTATAAAGCTGAACTCCAGTCATATAAAAGACACAAATGGACAAAGGACTAATAGGAGGCTATAGTTCTACTGTAAAGCTGAACTCCAGTCATACAAAAGACACAAATGAATGGAGTACTGTAGTCAGTAGTACATGAACATGTATAAATGGAAGTAGTGTTAGTACCTGAATTTGACGTGGTATCAGCCTCTTGCAGTCAATATATAGCAGAGCTGGCAGTGTGAGAAGATATAGCAGAATAAAGAACCCATCAGTTCATTTGCTGAAAAGAAGTATGCTGATTGGAAAGAGAAGGTAGAGTCACAGAGAGATGAGCTCATCAATGTGCTGCTTCTCGTTTTTGTAATTGTCCAGTAACACGCTGGGGCAGGTCCAGGACAACCTGGGCTCAGAAGAAGTGGGTTGAATGATGCTAGCCATTAGATATCTAGTGACAGAAAAAATTACTGGGGGGGGCATAGATCTCCGAATTGCAGCTAAACGTTTCAGCAACAGCTGGGCTTGTTATTTTATCTTTTTAATGGGCTAACCCACGTGTAGGCCACCTTGGCACTCCAGATGTGGTGGAATTACAAATCCAATGAGACACTGCAATACTAGACTGCACAGGCATGGCTCCCAAAGGCAGAGACATGATGGGATTTGTGGTTTCACCAAAGCTGGAGTGCTGAGGTTGTACACTCAAGGGCTATTCATGTTCATCTTCTTATCTTTGGCTGGAGTTCTGCTTTAAGTTTCATACTTGTTATGTAAAAATAAATTGCAAGAGGGTTAAAGCTTCTGATTCTTAAAATTCGTTATATCTACAACTGCGATACTCAACAAAGGACAAGCATAACAGCTGTCCTGACCAGGGATGAGCTCAAGCATGAGACATTCTTCATCCTACAGCAGCACACATATATGCCCCCGTATATGTGCAAGGCAAGGATTGCCTCTGCTGCTTACGATGGGCTGTCTGCAGTGACAGCTTACTGGGGGAGGATAGTTCAGGTGGGTTGACAAATCAAAGTGAACATTCCCGGACTCATCCCTACTCCTGACCAGGGTTAAAGCAGAGTTCCACTCACTCTGTAAAAAAATAAAAGTCAGCAGCTACAAAAAACTGTAGCTGATGACTTTTAAAAAATAGCCACTCACCTGTCCCACAATCCCATGTTGTGCCCGCCGCAGCCCGTTTCACCGGCCGTCCTGTATTCCAGACGCTGGCATCTTCAGTGTGGGCACCCGGCTGTGACAGCTTGCGGCTTCACAGCCGGGTGCCCAATGCGCATGTGCGAGTAGCACTGCACTTCATGAATGGCCCCATCATATTCTAAGACCTGTCACGTGCCCCACAAGACTTCGGGGAGGGTAGGAGGACAACTTCCGCTTCCGATCACCTAGGTGATCGCATCAGAAGTGAGAGCGGGTACCCCCCCGCTCCCAAAGGTGCCAATCCTTAATGGGGAGCGGGGGACCAATCTTTAAAGCGGAACTTCCCCTTTTGGGTGGAACTCCGCATTAAACATAACTTCTCTCCCAGTGATTCCTGTGAGGCTGTGCAGCTGAGAATAAACAGAACCAGCAACATTGATGAGCTGTACAAATAACTGGACATTGCTGCCTGCTGACTCAGTACAGCTGGAGTTGTCTTGTGGGTTTACAGCCACGTAGTCCTAATGCAGATCCCAGGTGCTGGTGGATACAATGTTCCCTGAGATTGATGAATAAATTGCTTAACATATCACAATAATCATGGAATTGTTGTTTTATGATTATCCTGATTTTTATATGTAGGTCTGTCCAGTATTTGGAGAACCGCACATTCACTATATCTGGTCTCCCACAGTACACACAACTTGGAAATGCAATTATTTTAGTAAATATAAACTGCTACATACCTTTTCCCATCAGCAGTATATAACAGTCTCATAACTTCATTCAGTGTCCAGCTGAGCACTGGTTAAAGCTTGTAGGAGTAGTTTTCATTCGCTTTGACTGTCCTATTAGACTGCCTAACCCCTGACCCCCTGTCTGGACAGTGCTGATTGGCCCTGTGCTGATCACATGCACCCTCCCAAAGAAAAAAATAAACTCCTTAGCAGTACATACCAAGAGCATTTGCAGAGTGACTCCTAGAGCTCTGTACTATCAGCAGATGGAATGGGTACAGTAGATGAAGGGGAGAATCAGATAAGACAGGATCCAACAAACTCTTTTTGCACAATTCGGGGGATTAACCCCTTAGGTTCTACATTGAGTATAACAAGCATGTTTTACTACATACAGTATACAGACTGATTTTACTGTTGTGGGTTTAGTAACACTTTAACATAACGCACGTGAAAGGCCCTTATTTTTGTAAAGAATATTTATCATAAGTTGAAAATGATGAACTATTATCGTGCTTGTAACATTGCTAACTAAGCAGCTAAGTAATTAATGCCATCTAGATTTATTAGATAGTCTGAGAGGCTCGAGTGATAAAATTTGCTGCATAAATAAAACAGAAGATTGTTTTATTGCTTGTTCCGTGTATTTGTTAAGAGTTTATAGATATAGTGACACAACTACAACACAATTTACCAAAATGAGCTCTATTAAATCACGTAACACAAATCTTAGTAAAGTTGCGGGGAGATTTTGACTATGCCACCGAGTTATTTTTTGAATAGCTTTTGGGACTATATTTGGAAAGCAGTTAATTACATTCTAAATTATGGAACAAGCAGTAAATAATTCATTACTTGAATGAGCATGTTCGTTTTATTACGTTTTCATCATAGCGTGCTAAAAGAGAATTGCTACTTCAAATAAAGTATTTTACACTCTGCACCATCTCAGGGGGCACATGTAACTCTGTATGGAAACTGTGCTTCTCATGACACAAGCAAAAATAGCAAATAAACACAGGCTGAATTTCTCAGTAATTGGATACACAGAATACCCAGACTTACATGGATAAATGAAAGACAAAAAAAAAAAAGCTTCCCAACTGCAAAATGCCTAAGTACCAAACTAGAGTTGCAGTGTGCCCATCAACATATTAGGTACCTCTCTAAGGGAACTAGGTAGACAAAGCATATAAAGACTCTCAGGAGATTGCCAACTGAAAACAGTATGGCTGGAGATACCATTTTAAAGCAAGACCGTACAGAGATAAGATGCTGACATTGCAAACCTCTTCCTGAAAATGCTTGATACCGGTCTCTTTCTGTCTGGGAAAAAAGCATACAGATTAGAAGTTAGAATTCCAGTCTGCATACTTATAAATCTGTGACTTATGGCAGGAATACACGGTAAGAAAATCGGCTGATCGGTCATCCCCGCCGACCGATCGGCATTCGTTCATTGGTTGAAATTGTGGCCCACATTAACAAATCGAAAAAAATAATTCATCAAGCAATACGTAGTGTTGACGATGCAGTGTGCGTGTGACCTTGTTGCCACGCTCTTCTGCCCAGAACTAGCATTCAACGCCCTGCCCCCCCAGAACAAGCGATTGGCCATAAATCCTTGGAATTAACTGGTTTAAATTGGATTTATGGATAATTGGACATAATTGGAATAAATTGGATTTATGGATCCTTGGACATAAACATCCGGGTCATCTTCTGTCTTCGCTCATGCGTGATAGTGCTTGATAGATTTTTTTGGATGACTGTCATACCACCACATAGAAAATCGGTTGTTTGCATGAGAAACAACAAATTTTTTCACAGTTGCTCAACCAGATTTTTTCGTCCACAATAGCGTTATCGGTTATAGCATCCTGCTCATCAACAAAGAGAAAATCGGTCCATCATTTGATCAACAAAATTTTTCGGATGATTTTCTTACCCTGTATTCCTGGCTTTAGGTCTAGTTTACACTTGTGGTTGTGTCAGGGCAGGAGCCGAGGAACGGACAGGCAGGCCTAACAATGTAACGCACTGGCTGACGACAACCACCACCCACAGACCGAAGTCCCTCAGGGCGCGGAGTCTAAGTCCCAGGCTGCCCTTCACCAGGGCCCCTGATGGTGGGGATGGACTTGACGCAGCCAGGAACCAGGTCGCGGCCCCCGAGACACCTCAGCTGCGGTAATGGCCGCCGCCAATGGCGTGTAGCTGGTGGAGAGACAAAAGAGTAGTCAGACAGGCCGGGGTCAACAACAACAGGACAAAACAGTACAGGACAGCAGACGAGAATCACAGGTCACGAGCCGGGTTCAGCAACAGAGGGTCAGATCAAAGGAGAATACAAAGAATAGTCAAGTCACAAGCTGAATCAGATACCAGGAGAGTCACGAGAGTCAGAACAGAGTAATAGCAACACAAAGACACAAGACACAAGTGCAAAGAGCATGTGCGGGCCACAGGC